TTTGAATACAGAAAAAAGTTCCATTCAAAGAAAAAAATATTTTCAAGTAATTTTGAGCATTGATGAGAAATTACAAAAATTTGTCAGATCTGTGTCGAGAATGAGTACTGTACTGCAAATTTTTGATGCATTTCTGTCAATATTCATTTGATTTGAGCAATAGGTGTAACGAGTAATTCAAGCGAAAGCGTGATAGAGAATTCAAAACGTAGTTCTACTCATAACATAAAGTAAATAGAAGTAACAAAATTGACGTGAAAACATGAAATAAAAATTTATTGCATTTAACTTGTCATTTTATAGCACATCTTTGAGAATTGGATTTTGATCGGAAAATGCTCGAAAGACCAAAGTTTTCTGTTGATTATGCAAATAATGTAAGGTTCACAAAGAATAGTTATAACTTGTAGGCTGAAATATTAAGTAAATAGTCAAACTTATATCAATTCTCACTATCGTTAAATCAGACGTTAATTGAAATATCATCATTTTTTAACAAGAAAATTGTCGTCTTTGATGTGCAGCATTTTTAGATCAAAATATCATTTAAAGTAAGTTTAAAGCATAAAATTTAACATTTATGGAAAGCTTTGTGATATTTAAAAATTTGTTTTCTTTGAATAATAAAGACTCATATGGGAGCAGAAAACTATATGGTAAGATTAAATCCATTACAACGAGCAAAAAAATATGATTCGGACACTCAATAAACACGAATTGTATTTTGAGTAAATCTTTTCATGCTACGAAAAGAACTAAAATTAGAAAACTTCATTCAGCACATGCAACATTTATGAAGTTGGCAGTGTCAATTGCTTTCACGTACCAGTGGTAAAACTTCTGCCAGCACATTTGTGAAGTTTTCATTTTCTCATTATAATCTTATCGAAGTTATACTTCCATTCACATTACTTCATTAGTTTTTTTTTTGGTTTTGTAAAATATTCTGTGGGCTAACTTTTCTAAGCAAACTTACATTCATAAACTTTTTATCCGTAAAAACTTTTTAATGTTATCTAAAGTTATTCACATGACGAGATTGAGCACTGGTGGAGTTGTTCCCTAAATCATTTCTTCCATAACTGAGAACGATTATGCCTAATTACTGAGACGATCATTCTAAAGGTCAAAAATATTTATCCATAACTCACAGATGCGAGTTGTTTCAGTGAATATTTAAATATTTGATATGAGCAGTCAGTTTATAAAGCATTCAAAAGTCAATGAAAGTATTAACACACAGGTTGAACTCTTTTTTGACCTTTACCGAAGAATGACGAAAAAAACAGAATCTAAAATGTTTTTTTTGACACTTTCTTGATTTTATATTGTCTACAATGCTAAGAAAGGCCTCTCAATATTTATATTTGTGATTCAGCTTGTGGCGCAGAAGTTTCTATTTCCTGACCTTCTCAGAAGAGTATTTTGTTCTTTTTCAAATGATTGTACTCAAATTACTGCAGCTGATGCGGCTGCTGAATGGACTTTTATGATATCTGATTAATTATTGTAGCTAAGCCAACCACTTTATCTTGACCTTTTGATGATACTCATTCACTAATTCTACATGAGTGACATGGTGTTGTAAATACGTAGTTTACTTCTACGCGCCATTTCTTCTGTTTTGTCTGCATAGAATAAATCATTTATTCGCAAATAAACCTGCATGTTTGATATCTATTTTTCGCATATTGTGAGATTTTTATCTATATAAATTTAAGATATATAAACAGAATAATCGAGACACTGTAAACACTCAAGCCTTAAATGAAGTACTTCTATGATTCAAATCTTCTGTTCTGTGCACATCTCATTATGTTGCAGCATATCATGCATACTTGATCACAATATTTATTCAAAACTGTTAAGTAACAGAAAAAAATGTCATAACTAAATTGTTAAATAGCGTTAATATGAGTGGCAAGAGAAATACATAGAAAGTGTTCAAACAAGAAAACCACATAAAGAAGAAATTAACATAGCACACTTGAGTTTAACTACTACTTTTACAGGCTAGAAAACAATGTTTTATGCTTAATTACAAGGAATAGCTAAGTTTACCAACAATGTAGAAATGCTATGACACATGTCAAAAATCGAATGTCTGAAGTTCAGATAATAATACATTAAGTGTATTATTATCTGAACATGTGTTTTTATATATATAAATTTTGAGATATATAAACAGAACAATCGAGACACTGTAAACATTCAAGACACGTACAATTAAAAAAGACACGTACAATTATTTAACTGAAAAAAATACTAAAAATTTTCCTTAAATCTGTAAATCAAAAATAATTTTTTTATCACAACAATGTAGTTACTTTTTCTCCATCGTAAGTTCTCTTTCGTATTGAAGAAATCTTTCCATGAAAATGGTAAGCTGCGCTACTTTCTTGTACAAATTCTCGTGGTAAGACATTAGAATAAACAAGACATACCCTCTGCATTAATCGCAGCATCTTGTAGTTTTTTATCTTTGTTTCTGCTGAAATGAATAGAAAAGTGGAAAAAATAATTTCAACGAACAGTTTAAAAATTATCTTTAGTAGATGTGTTGCATTCATTATCCTCAAGACTTGATCTCATTGCAAATGTACTATCAATCTGATTTATCATCGCTCACAGTATCGAAAATTTCACACATTTTGTATAAAAAAACTTACGAAAAATCCTCTTTGTCCAACGTCCACATGACCTCGGATTATTTTTCCAGAGGTCATTTTAGACTTTCATGTCACCGGGATGATCATTCACATCCCTCAACAGCTTTTCTCGATAATTCTACCCTCTTTCAATTAAAATGCTTTTTCAACTAGAGGGTAGTATTGCAATCATGAGAGAAAAAGTGATATAAGATCGCAGCAATGTAATTTCACGTTGCGATCTACTTATCATTCTGGTCACTCTAGCGAGCAACCAATTCTTTGCATGTAATATAGGCTGCTTCCTTATCAGTCCTTTATGATTCCACAGCATAACACAATCAAGTCTGAAAAAACATTACGTTGAGTGAGGAAAACTGCCTTCAACAAAGCACGGAATGGTTAACGAGAAGTCGTAAGGACGTACCATAACATGCACGCAACACAACCCACCAACCTAATAGCACTGAACAAAGAGCACTGCAGACATCGTCTCATCGGGTGACTTAATGACGGACTGAAGTGACTCAAAATGCTCAGACCTTTATAAAGTGCAAATTTGATCGATAAGCCGAAATAGCACATGCGAATCAGAGGATGAGACAGCGAAACGGGGAGTACGTCATAATCTTTTCAAATGCAAAATGACACCTTGAGCAAAATGAAATACTTTCATACTGAGATTTTGTTACGCTTGCTGGTAAGTAATGCGTCTCAATAATCTTCAGATGACACTTCAGAAGAAATGAGTAAGACAAATCAAAAATTTACACGTATATGCACATTCCTGTCTAAGAAATGAGCTTAATAAAGTGAAACATTGAATATTCAACAGTAATAATTGTGGTGTACGTAACGATATCCAAGTATGTAAAATTAGGAAAGGTAATTATACAACGTTAAATTTGAACAGTTAAGGAGATAAATCGTAAAAAGAATGCTAAAAAATCTACACGGAGCAGTCGTCAATTTCTTTTTCCATCTGATAAATAGCATATCTTGCGTATTCCAATGCAAAATTATTACGTGAACTACAGCGTCCCTAATAACTATGACCATTAGCACAACTTTCTATCCATTTCAATTCTTCAGTGACATCTTCAGCTTTAAAAAGTAAAGAAAGCTACAAATTACTCAAAAAACTCTTTATTCTTGAACAATTATTGTAATTTGTAAATTAATCTGCGTAGGTATTCATCTCATCAAAGCTGTTTATATTCATATTATTCATGTACAATATGGATGAAAAATTTTAGAAGTAGACTAAAATAATTTGAAATTGAAGTCTTATTTCTATTTGTATCTTCCAGTAACATTATAGTAAAGATGACATTTTCTTTCCTATTTTTGTCAAAATCAGAAAGAATGCTGCCATGAAGAGCATTCATACAGACATCAGTAAATACTTAACTTTGAATTATTAAGAAGGAGTTGATGGTATAAAATTTATACTGAAGCTGGTAAACCGAATCTTGGTCTATTTCATGCTTCGTAGTTAGAGTAGTAGTGCCTGCGTTTTTAAGCAAGAACTCTACCTTATATGAGAGAACGTGGATGAAATAACTATGTTGGATGAAAACTTATTTCATGGGACTGACACGGAAACATAATCTTCAGCTTTAAAGAGTAAAGAAAGCTACGAAGTCGAATCGCAAGAAGGATAAAACCAAGTCTCTAAACCAGACTTGTTTCTTGCATAAAAAGCATTTAAATTATTCATATTAGTTTTTGCTTCCATGTGTATAGAAAGCAAAAATTTATTTTTATAAGACAGATTTCCCATAATAACAAACAAAATATGCAGGCAAAATTTATATACGATAAAAATATTATTAAATATCTGAAGTTACAGTAGTTCTTCTTTCAATCCAATGAGTATCTTTTCCTTCTCCCTACCAATTTTCTGCTTACAAAAGCTCATAAAAATTTCATTCAAAAGACGATCTGTTGGACATAGATCAACAAAGTACGGTCGCATATCAGACATTTTCCATGACTGCCGAAGCGTAAAAAGTATCTGAAACCTGAAAAACCAATAAAATTAATAGCTTAAACTGCTGTCCTTGTATAACAATAACTATGTTCGTCATATAAAAACAAAATAACTCCAAAATTCTGAAAAACTTCAAATACTAATATTTAAGCTTTTGAAACGTAAAAAAATATTCCATTGAAGTTTACAACTAATATCATTTATAAAAATAAAACCTTTTAATTGGTTCTTCAGGCAAATCCTCAACATTCAAGTAACGTATTGTCTTTCCTGTTGCTAACTGATCATCAATATACGCAAGTCCTTCGAAATACTCAACCTTAATTGCAACTTAAACCCAAAGAATTGTGATGATGACAATGGAAGATCTATTTTGATTCTAGACTCGCATCAGTTGATGACTACAGAAAAGTTGTTCATCAAAAATTATCTAAGATACTATTGAAGATAAGTGAAAATTACTTAAATTTACATTAATGAAAAAAGAATCGTGCTAATTTACTTTTGAATAAACACCAATTGGTAGAATTTGCTGCAAACTTTTTTCGAAAACATCATATTCAATTTGAACAGCTGCACGAAGGAGCTGTGAGATTTTCGCTCGACATATCGCTTTTTCATTTATACATCGTATTCGTTCTCCACAGACTGAATAACAGCATAGTAGTTCGCTCTGATTTAAAATTTTAAAACACCTTTCCATGGATAATTGTTGTAAAAAAACAATAACGTAAAAATTTTGCACTTGCAGAAAGTATTAATTTTTTTAATATTTAAGCACTTGCTGACGATAAGTAGAATAGTTGAATATAGTACTTTGCAGTTTGAGAAACCTCAATGTAACCCGAGATTTGTCTCAAAATTATTCTTCAATTTTTGAAAAACTACAGCATTTTATGAAAAGAACGCAACTAAGAATTCAAAAAAGGCTGAGATTTGCAAAATATGGTTAGAATAGTAACAGTGTTATGAATAACAATAAATAAGTACCTTCAACATCATTACAAAAGGTGTTTATCAGCCACAAGACAACTTCCATAGGAATATCTTTTTCTGGGTGATGTTTTTTAAAAGCATTTTTTAAGCATTCTAATTCAATTGCTCCAAGCGTTATTCCTGGTTCTTCATCATCATCTAAATAATCTACAAGCTCAGTAACTAAACGATCACGGTACTCTGTCGATAGTAATCGCACATAACCTGTAAATGAAAGCAGATATGCTATAGAACTATAGATGTCATTAATGCCATGGTAAATAAAAGGAGTAGAAACTTAAATTTCTAACACAGATAACTTTTAAATTATGTCAATTGATCAAATGATGTATCTGAAACGCTTCGATTTTTCAAAACTGAATCATTTTATTATGATAAACGATGCATAAGACACTTTTATATAGCACTATCATGCTTTAGATAAACTCATTTATTTCTGAAATCAAGAAAATGGACATATGGACAAACAAACCGTCTAAACATATTACAGGCATGCTTTTAAGGCAATTTGTTAACTGCAATTCACTCATTTGCACAGTATTCAACAAATCCGCAACAGTATATCTGAAATTCATAAAAATTAATTTTTATTTATTCCCTTCAGACAAAAAAAACGATTTTTGATCTAAGAAATCCTGAAAAATTCTTTTTTCACGACTCTATATGAAGAAAAAGTACGAGAGATTTTCCGAAGATATTGAACACAACGATACCTTTCATACTTCAATAAACTCACAATTTTTCATTAATATTACAACGTTCAATCCATTCCAACTCGCTTTCGGAGAGTTTCTCTTTCAAGCGTTGCACTGATACATAGGCCATTTTTCGTATTTCTAAGAAATTATTCTTCATTGCAATCACCTTAAAAATGTAAAAAAGAGATAAATCACCATTATTTAAATTAAATTAAAATCACGATCGAAATTAAAGTAAATTATTTGTATTAATTTGTAAATTTATCACTTTTTGTTTATTTCACACTTTCGAAACATTATTTCACTTTAATTTCTTGACTTTTACTTCTCGAGTTATCTCGCTATTGTTGTCTACATTTGTTTTAGTGCTGAAATGAAACTCGGGTATAAGTAGCAGCACATTTGAGGTTACCACTTCTTTAATATCAAATGTCTCATCACTCGTACATAATACAGCACTATCTTCCTGTTCTCCTCGAATCACAAGTCTGAAACATATCGGCTCTGTGTAATCTTTCTTATTCACTCTTTCAAATTATCAGTTTTAAACGTTAAATTGAAGTTCTTCTAAGCTCATGGATTTCTTTTTCTGAATTCAATAATCTTTCTTCCGCACAGAAGTCTTAAAATAAATTTTTGCAATTATCACATAATGTTTACTCTTCTCCTGCCATCAGTCGATCAGCTATTAATGCATTAACCTCTAACAAACGATAATCTTCCGAAGAGAGAGGCGAAACAAATTCAAGATATTGCAATTCTGCCTGTAAGATTACATATGAAGTACGTAATTGCAAAAGTTAAATAATAATGGAGCGAAACCAATACAAATTTTAGTAATTTCATATTTAATACGAATTTTATGAACAATACTCAAGATTATTTTACCTTCGAAAATAAAACAGAAAAAAAGTTTCAGTTACATACTTTATTATTACTGTCAGAACCACGTGAAAAAATAGAAAGCTTCTGATGCAGAACTTCATTATTCCGATCACTGGCAGCGCTGCATATCTCTGTCTGAAAAAGTGTTCGCATAAGATTAAAAAAAGTTCTACAAAATATTATCGCATTTACGTGGAAAAAATAATAGATTCAAAACACAGATATCAAATTAATTTAGCTATTGTAATTTCATTGAAAGATAAACCCTCATAAGCTAGACAATTCTTAAATGCGCATCTCAATATTTAGTTACTTCTGTATTTGGTATCTGCATATGCTTACTATATTTTTTTTAAACTTTTTCATTGTACTTTTCAATAAATAACTGCAATTACTACAAAATAGATAGTTAGTAAAATAAGGAAAATTTTTATCTTGAAGAAAATTAGAAACTGATAATTGAAAGTGAAACAACATATGCAAGCAAAAGGTATATTCAAAATTATATTTCACCTTATGATACTTATGAACAACGTCATAAAAACTGAGCTTTAGAAAGTAAATGACCAAAACAGTTAGCCATTAATCAAATGGAAAAACTAGGAATAAATTTATAAATAGATTTTTAAAAGCTGTACATTGATATAAAACAGCAACTATGTAGAACATAGTATTATGTTACATTAAAGCTATGGAAATGCAGGAACAACTCTAATTTCCATAAGTTTCATCGAGTGTCAGTAGAAGTTACTTACAGTAGT